CGCGCCCGTCTCGGCGTCCCAGAGCCGCGCCGTCCCGTCGATGCTCGCTGTCGCGATGCGCTTGCCATCGGGCGAGAACGCGCAGCTTTTGAGGTAGCCGGTGTGTCCCTTGAGCGTGTGCAACAGCGCGCCCGTCTCGGCGTCCCACAGCCGCGCCGTCCCGTCGTCGCTCGCCGTCGCGATGCGCTTGCCGTCGGGCGAGAGCGCGCAGCTGTTGACGTAGCTGGCGTGCCCCTCGAGGATTGCTGTGCCCTTCAAAATCCGGTCGTGCCAGATGAGGTTGCGCACCACCAGCGCCACGGCTCGCGCACCTCGAGCGACTCGTTTCGTCACATAAAGCCCATTCGTCGATGCCGCCTGCCGCAGGATGATCGTGAAGAGGTCGTCCTGCTCGAAAACTGCAAGGGCCGGCGCGGTAGAGGAGGCGCGCGGCCGCATGGTCTCGGTGGCTGGTGGCCTCCCTGGTCGGCAATCTCCGCGGGCACCCCTTGTCCTCAGGCTGAGATTTCGCAAATTTGCTCTTTGTGCACCCCTCGATCGATTGTACTCGGCCGCTGCGACTGCCGTCGCCGCGGCCTTTTGCGATGAAGGGCGGGTACCTGAAGCCGAGCCTGCCGGACTTTGCGGCGCGTTTCGAGTCCACGCCGCAGAAAGGCGCACTCGCAGAGGCAGTGGTGTCGGGCAACTTTCCAGTCTTCGTTTGGCTTCTCCTCGCGAAACCGGCCGGCGTTGACGAGCGCCGCGGAAACGCAAGCACGCCGCGTCCCCGGCCTCGTGCGCACGCCGGCCTCTATAGGACACGCCGCTGTAGGACACGCCTCTGCTCGCCGCCGCGAGGCACCGTGCTCCGCGCCGCGTCCTCTGCCATGCCGCGCCCGCGGCGCCGACGGCGCGCCCCACCGCGCAGGCGCGGGTGACGCGCGCTACGTTGAAATGCTCGTCGCCGTGCGAAACCCGCGCCGAGCGCCGGAAACCCACGAGCCTCGGCACGCAGACCGTCGCGAGGACGGTGATGAGGGTCGCGAGCGGCATCAGAGGGGTTATACCGTCGCCCGTGCAAGGCGCGCCTTTTCGACGCGTCTGTAGGCGGGCGCGGACGCGTCGCCCATCGATGCCAAAGGTGACTCGGCGGCGCACGTGGCGGCAGCTGCGCGCGGCGCGGGCGCGTCGCTACGCGCAGCCAAGGCGCTGCTTCTGGCCCCAACGCTGGGGACGTCGTTCGCGGAGCCCAACGGCGTCGGCCACCGGGCGGTAGACCAGTGCGCCTCGCTCGACGCCTTTGAACTCCTGCGCGTCGCGACGGAATGGAGCCGCCTCGGCCCAAATGCGCCAACGGCGACGCTCCTCGCGCCCCATGCCGCCGCTGCGCTCGCCTGCGCCCTCGAGCGCTTGGCGCGCCGGAAGTGGCTGCCCGCGGCGCCGCTGGCAATCTTCTGCGCGGCGCTCGCCGGCGCCTGCGCGCTCCGGAGCAGCGCGTGCGCGGCGGCGGTGGCGCACCCGCGGTCGTGCCTCGGGTCCGGCGTCGCGTCGGCGATGGCGCTCACCTGCGCCGTGTCGACGTACACCATGCTCCGATGCATCCGCCAGCGCACGGCCGTCAACGTCGCGGGAGTCGACGACGCCACGCTGCTGTCCTACGCGCACGGCGCCGTCTACGTCATGTACCTCGCGCTCTACGCGCTCTGCGCCTGGCGCCCGGTGCCGCCGCGCGAGCGCGTGCGCCGCATCTTTTCGGCGGAGCGCGCGAGCTTTGTCACTCTGGCACGAGCTAAGCCGGGCGCATTTTTGGACATGCGGTTCTGCCCAGCCTGCTGCGCGTTCAAGCCGTCGGTGCGTCCTCCCGACGGCCCGCAGATCCCTGACAAACAAATAGGCGAGCCCAGACTTTGTGCATTGTTCACGCTGCAACACGTGCGTCCATCAGAGGGACCACCACTGCGTGCTTTTGGGCCGCTGCGTCGCGAGGCACAACCAGTGGAATTTTGTCTCGCTCCTCGGCGCCACCGTCTTCGTCGGCGTCTCCTGCGGCCGAATCGCGGCGTGGTTCTTCGCGTTAAGATGCGGTGCGAGTTTTTTGCGTTGCGTCGACCGGCGGCGCGAGGGCCACGTAGGAGTCGCGGCCGGACCGATCGAGCCGCGAATCCGGGACACCGTTTTCGCGATGCCGCTCACGCTCGCAAAGTGCGCCTTTGGAGGCGATCTTGGTTTAACAGCGGTGCGTCGCCGCATTCGGGGCTTTTTGTATCGGACGCTTCGATTTAGGCGCTCCATTTCATCATCGTGCCACTCGGCTGCGTCTTCGTATCGTACGCCCTGTCGCAGCAGCTCTTGCTCATCTGCGGAATTAGTGAGGAGATCATCGAGCAGTCCATACAGGACCGCGAAAAAGAGGCGGCGCAGCAAAGGCCAGAGGCGGCGACGGCTCAGACCATGAAGCGCGACTAAGGCCGCCCTCCCCCCGCTGTTTCCGGCTCTCGGTCGTCGCGCGGCTGGGCGTTCTACCCAACCAGCTCCGCCTCTGGGCTCCGGCCGCCTCCGAGTCAGGGCTCAAACAGCGGTCATGAATATAGGGACTGATTTAAATCTTTTGAATTCCCACTCAGAACAATTTTTACTTTCGGGAGGAGACAACTTGAAGGAGCTTGAGAGCCGCTCGAGAGACGCCGCGCGCGCGTCCTCGGGGGAAGCAGGTCGCGCCCGTCTGTAGGACCGTGCTCGTCATCTCCACGCTACTCCTAGGTACGCTTACTCGAAGCGCGGCGTCCTTTGCCCTTGGATACCGTTCGGTCTCTGTGGCTCCTTGTTTGACTCTGCTCGTCCACGCCCTGCTCGTCCACGACACGCGTCGCGTAAGCTTCCCCCCCCCCCACTTTTAAAACTGTATCTTGCGGCCTCGTCTACTATGACGTACATGTATGACAATCTCGTGACAATAGTCCCGTCGAAGCAGCTGCGTCGAACGAGTTCGAAAGGAGTGTCCCGCCGCGCCAACGATCTGCCTCGGTCTCTAGAACGTGAAGCGCCGCCCGAGGGACAAGAAGATGCCCGCTCTTCGTCGCCGCGCAGCTGCGGGCCAACTCGAGACCGGCTCAAACGATTTAATTCCAACTTTTTAACGCCGGGAATGCGACGGACGACCCCCAAGTGTAACAGCGCCGCGGCCCCGAAGCTGACCTGCAGCACTAGGCCTTGCAGCTACCAGTGGCGCGACTGGTTCGCGGGAAACGCGGCGCCCTGCGGCGCCTGCAAAGCAGGCGACGCCTTGAAATCCGACGTGCTGCCCTGCCCTCTCACGGTTTGACCAGCTATCCGACCCGAGGACTACTCGGCAGGCTGCTCGCGACAGGGCGCGACCGCCAGTCCGGCCGCGCGGTCCGTATAGGAGTGGCGCGGCAGCGGAGACCCGCGGCAACGGCGCGGACGATGAAGCATGTGGCAGAGGCAACGATTAACTTAAGGACGCATAGCTCGTCGCCACGTAACGCATGGCTCGTCGCCGCGGCAGCCGGCAAAGCAGAGCCTAGTTGGACTCTGGTGCCAGCGCTGCTTCAAAAATGCATTCCGGAGACGCTTCAAACGATTAAGTGCCTCTGAAAAATGTCACTGGTCGCGTCAACGGCGCCACTCTGGGTGGGTCTAAGATACTATCTAGCTTTACGTGGTAATTCATCACCGGCAGCTTTCGTCGGACGAGTCCTTAAAATCGATGGAGACGCTGCGTGCCGACGTCCCTGGCACCGCATGCCGTTAGAGCTTCCTCATCGCATGCGCGCACTGCCCTCGAGGCGCGTGCTGTGCCCGAAGAACAGCTCGAGAGGCCACTCTCGGCCGAGCTCGGACTTGTCGGCGAGGATGCGGTGGTCGCTGATTTGGTTTGGTCATTTTAACAGATTTGATCAAGTCTCGTCGAAACGGCCCTTAAGGAGCGCTCAGGTATTCTCAGGGTTCTTGGTAGCGCGGCCGACGGGCTCTGCTCCCGCGATGATGCGGGCAAAGTCAGCGGAGCTCCGCGCCCCGGCCGAACGGTCAGACGGCGCCCTACGGCCGGCACCGGCTGCGGCCGCGGCGCGGCCGGTTGCCGCGGGCGCCTCGGGCGGTCCGTCGGCGGGCGACGCGGTCTACGCGCTGCACGAGCTGTACCCGGTGCCGGCTCTCGGGATACTGTCGCCGGCGCTGGTGCGCGGCCTCGCGGCGGACGTCGACGCGCAGTGGATCGACGGCGTCGACGGCACGCAGTCGGCCGGCAGCGGCGGCACGCCGTTCGAGCAGCAGCGCGGCGGCGTAGACGCGCAGGTGGCGGCTCTGATGGCGGCGCGCGCGGCCACCTTTACGCCCCTCCTCCCGACGCGAGACGACTTCGATTCCGCAGAAGGCTGGCAGGCGGCGTTCAAACGGGTGCGGCGCGACATCTGGCGGCCCATCGATTACGAGGGCGGCGATATCGCGCGGACTGCGGACTCGCCCTGGCGCGCGGATACCACCAAGCCAGAACTGTTCTTCGACGTCAAACCCGTGCCCCGCGCGCCGCGGTCCAAGGACGTCGCGCGGCGCCTCGAGCGCAAGCTGCGGCTCCCGGGCGAGGCGCCCCGGCCTCAACCGCCGGAGTCGGGCCTCCACAAGCAGCGGTCGCTCGCGGGAAGGCACTTCCGCCACGCGCCCGCATCGCACGATGCCGAGGTCTCGGGCGACTCGGAGCGGTCGCTGCGCCGGTCGCAGCGGGAGAGCGCGGCGAGCTACGACACTAGCTCGCTGATAAAGGCCGCGAGGCGCCCGAGCACAAAACCCGCGCCGGCCGCGCCCGCGCTCTCAATAATGGCAGTCGTCTTCACGGCGGGCCTCATCCACAAGAAACTGCGCTACGTCGTCGACGCCCGCCCCACCGCCGCCGACGGCGCCACGCCCGGGCGGCCGGGCCGGCTCTCCAAGGACCGGCTCTCCGGCGGCAGCCGCCGCGGCGACTCCCAGGGCCGGCTCTCCGTCGGCAGCCGCGGCAGCGAAAAGTCGGTTCGGCAGCGGAAAGTGTTGGCGCGCACTCACACCGCCGCTTCAACGATCCAGGCCGCGGTGCGTCTACAACAGCGAGACCGCCGCGTCCGCCACCTGGCCCAGGCGGTGGTGCAGCGCGTCGTGGGCCGCGCGGTGCCGAGGGTGGCGCTGGAAATGGCAAAGCGCGACTTGGCTGTTCTTCGAATGACGGCGGTTGCCCGGGCCGCGCGGAAATTACAGCGCTTCTGGCGCTACCACACCAAGCCGCTGCGGTTGTTGAAGATGATGACGGGTGTGGTCGGGACTGTCAAGGCGGCGAATAAAGTCCGATCGGACCTCCAGGATCGGCGCGCCTGGAAAGCAAGGATTGCGCACCGTGGCAACATCGAGGCCGACGAACTCCTTGCCTTTTACGCAAACGGCGACGCGATCTTCGCGCGCGCCCAAGCGCAAGACGCTGACACGTTCTGGGACCGCGCCTTAGACCCGCCGGACTTT